TGACGTCTGCTTCAGCTCAGACACGCTGAAGAGTGACGTAGTGGTTTTCCCCGGACCATTTCCGCCTGCAGATGCGGAGCTGATCAGTATAAACGAAGGAGACACGTTCAACAGGACTCAGACTTTGCCCAACAAAGACAAGGTAGGCAATTTGTGCTGGATGCTTTGAAAACCTAATAATGACGAAAAACACAATATTTCCTTTCCTGCTTATTATTTGAAGCAATACAACAGAAATAAAAGAACATATCGTAGTTAAGGAAAAAGTTTTCCTGTTAGTCCAACTCTACTTTAAGGCCAAACATGTTTTAGATTGTACGCTGGACCACAAGTATAACAATTTCTAGACCTTCTAAATTGAATGCCATGTATTTTCTACCGTCAGCGGTCTAGACCAAGATTCCATGTTTCAACAATTTTTAAGTAAAATGGTTATGTTGCTTCGGGAGGATTGAACTTGTTTATAGTCAGTATTTTGATATTACTCTCTGCCGGGGAGAAACCTGCCTTTGTGTCATTCAGCTGAAAATCTACTTCTTTCATTCATGTTGGCAAACTTTTATTAGTCATTACAAGAATTCAAGATGGTTTTGACTGAACTGAAACAGTGATGGCAGTAGTGCTGAGCTTGTAACCTTATATGTAGCAGGTTCAACTCAGCTGAGGTCTGTAAAGCCTCCTTAAACTGAATGCAGTGAAAATGAACTGTCCATGGTGCTAGACTTACTGATGGTGGGATGTGATTTCGTAACCACGCTGGAAATAAACAATATCTCTTTAATTTATGCCTCATTCCTGAAATAGACAATGTGACGTAAGGTATTAAATGTAACTGTAACATTATTTCTGGGTATTTTGGAGTACTTGTACTTTACAATTACTTGTTCAGCCACTAAAGTCTTTAGCTTTTCCATGCACTAGTGGTTGTCATATTAAATATTCAAAAGGTAAACCTATTAATTGCTGTAATCCATAAAGTTTTAAATGAGGTGACGATATGTTACACACTGGGTTGTATTTCATCTCCCATTATTCACCACATGAGGTCGCAGGAGACCATAGCCATGAATGTGTACGTGTACGTCCAAAACTCCTCCCTGCTTGGGGAAAAAAATAAATCGTCATCAGGCTTTAATACACCCACAGAAGGTGCCGTGACGAGAAGAGCAGGAGCTTCCCCACAACAATCGAGCTTTGGGTGGAAATATCACTGCTGAGGATAAATGATCGACTGGGCTCAGTTCGTATGTTACAATGTATATTCGAAGAGAAAGTGACCTCATCTGGATTCACGTCGTAACGTGGCTTTGTCTTTGTGACTGGTCCGCCTCGCAGTTATCCTACTCGATTTCTGAGGAGGTGAACAAAGGCACCGTAGTGGGGAATATCGCAAAGGATTTAAACATCAACCTGCAGGAACTGGAGGCCAGAGATCTGCGTATAGTTTCGAGTTACAGTAAGAAATATTTTGAGGTGAATTTGCGGACCGGGAACCTCTTTGTCGACGAGAGAATAGACCGAGAAGAGCTTTGTCCTATTGTTGAAAAATGCTTGTTGAAAATACAAGCTGTTTTAAACAACCCCATGACTGCACACCGCGTAGAGATCAGTGTTTTGGATGTAAACGACAATTCACCGGCTTTTATTGAAAGAACGAATTATTTGAATATTTATGAATCATCGTTGACGGGAGAGCGGTATCTCCTCCCCATAGCAGTAGATGCAGACATCGGTGGGAATTCAGTGAAGACGTACAAGCTGAGTCAAAACGAACATTTCTCTCTTGACGTACAAAGCGGTGGAGAACACGGTGTGTCCGCTGAGTTAGTGCTGCAGAAAGCTTTAGATCGAGAGAAACAGTCGGTAATTAAACTTGTACTGACCGCTGTAGATGGAGGCAGACCACCTAGATCCGGATCTATACAATTAATTGTTAATGTAATAGATGTC